GCGAGGAATGGGCCCCTTCCGCAGTGAGTTCGCGGGAGCTTGCCTCATCGAAGAAGGACGAGGACGACGGTGCCCTCCTTGCTCCGATTGACGGCTCCCCTTACGCTGGGCCACGCTCCCGGGCAGGGCTTGTGTGTGTGCGCCGTCGAGGAGTTGGGACGCAGGGTAGGGCGGGGGACGGTTCTGGGTGATGGATGGATGGCTGGCGATGGATGTTGGGACGGGCGTCGGATACCGGGGATAGGTATGTTGCACCGCGAAAGGGCGAGTTCATCATCGATGAGCTGGATGACGTTGAAGACACCAAGGGGAACAACGGTGAGCGTGGCACGCTGCGCGTGACCAATCTGCGGCTCATCTGGTTTGCGCATCGGACGAAGAAAGTCAATCTCTCAGTCGGGCTCAAGAATATCATCTCGATGACGATCCGGTCGGCCTCTTCCCGGCTGCGCGGAGTGACGCAGGCGCTGTATGTGCTGGCTAAGCCGCACCGGCTTGTCTCCAAGTTCTCGTCGGTGCCAAAGCACGAGAACAAGCGCTATGAGTTTATCTTTACCTACCTTGTGCCGGACTCGCCGCGGCTGTTCACGACGGTCCAGGCGGTTCACCGGGCATACGACTCGTCCAAAATGTACCGCGAGCTCAAACTCCGCGGCGCGATCATCCAGGACAAGCAGCTGATCATGCTGCCGACCGAGACGCTGTACTCCAAGGTCAACGGGGTGTGGAACCTGTCGTCGGACCAGGGCAACCTCGGCCACTTTTTCATCACCTCGGTCCGGCTGGTCTGGCACGCGGCGCTCGCCGAAAACTTTAACGTCTCCATCCCGTACATGCAGATCAAGAGCGTCCGCATTCGCGACTCGTCCAAGTTTGGCATGGCGTTGGTTGTCGAGACCGCCGAGGACTCGGGCGGCTTTGTTCTCGGCTTTCGCGTCGACCCTGTGGCCCGCCTCAAGGAAGTGGCCAAGGAAATCGTCTCGCTCTTCAACATGTTTTCTGAGAGGCCCAACTTTGGTGTCCAGTTTTCGCTCGAGGATCAGCCCGAGGGCCTTGACGCCGTCACCGTCCCGGTCCCCGACGAGGACGTTGTCATCGCACAAGTCGACGAGGCGGCCCCGGCCGTGGGCATGTACCTTGCTGACGGCGACAAGAACACCGACCGCCCGGCCACCTTTGCGCCTGAGCTAGGTCTGGCCATCGAGGATCTGCGCGAGGGCGTGACCCTGGAGGATTTGTGGACTTTGTAGGTAGGCTTTAGGGTTAAACGCTGCTGCTCTTTCCTCAAGTCGTCTTGGATCGCACCGAGCTCCCGCGGCGTCTTCTTCCGCGCACCTTGGCATCAGGCGGCCGCGGCCCACGGCGCGGCGTCTTGGCCTTGGTCTTGGTCTTGCCGGCAGCGCCTACACTGCGTCGAGCTCCACGGCCACGACCACGGCCGCGGCTACGCCCACGACGGGTGGACCCACAGGGCGAGTTCGACGGCCGGTGCGGGAGCGAAATGATCGGGTTCCAGCCGGTGGCCGTCAGTTCCACCTTGGGATGAGCAGTACTGCCAGATCTGGTGCCCGAAGCGGTCGCCGGCGGCCCCGAGGCAGTGCTGGCCCGCAGCTGCGCCTTGTGCTTGGCTTCAAGGGTGGTGACTGCGTTGTGAAAGCGGGCGAGGAGGGCATCGTACTCGGACTGGCGCCGACGCTTGCCCTCGTCTCGCTTGGAGTTGATGCGGGTAAGGAGCGCAGCCTCTTCGGTGGCGTGGCGGGCGTGGAGGCGCTCGACGCCTCGGGTGAGTTTGACGTTGCGGTTGTGCTCTGCGGCGGCGGCCTCCTTCTCCTCGATGGCGCGGATCTCGGCCTGGAGCTGCTTGGCGCGCTGGTAGAGATGCGCAGCGACGGCCTGCTCCTCCATCTTGCGCTTCTGCAGCAAAAGGGCCGAGGCGCGAACCGAGAGCTTGTTTGCGCCAGCTTCGGCCTCGCGGGCATCCCACCAGGCCTGCTCCTCTTCGGCGTGGGCTTTGCGGAGCGCGTCGAGCGCATCCGAGGCCGAGCCTGCAAAGGCATCGAGCTTCTCATCCCAGCCGGCCACAAACTCACTAAACAGTGCATCGTTGGCCGCCATCAGCTCGGCCATCTCGCGAGCGTGCAGTGCCGAGAGATCGACACACTTCAGCTCGGCCTCTCTGGCGGAGAGCTCTTCGGCGAGCTCATGAGCCTCGGCTGCGGCGTCGTAGTCTCCAGCAGCAGCAGCAGTGTCTCGGATGGCAGTCATGTGCTCAACAGCATCCGCCACAGCATCGACATCGTTTGCGTCCACCACCATGCCATCAGGCAAGGTCACTAGCTCAGCTCGCCTCTCGCTGCTGCGGCCTACCGGTCGGACGGGTGAGCCGCCGCCGCCACCACCTGCTGGCACTGGGCCCGACGGTGGCGGGAGCGGGAGCGGTTCGAGGGCCGGCACTTCGGCTCGCCAGGTCTGGTAGCTCATAGTAAGTGTGTGTGTGTATATATATGCGAGAGTGGTGGACGCGTGTGGCTGTGGCTGAGCTGAGTGTGGCCGACTGTGGTGGCGAGCGGCGGTTGGTCGGCCGCGGCCGAGGGGGCGCGTTGTGGGGCATGGCCGACAGCCGCCGGCGCCACGCATACTCCCCTTGGGTGGCAATGGCTATCTGTTTGAAAAATAGACATGGATTTAGCAATCATTGCGCCTCAGATGGTTACTCGAGGTTGTCAAAGACGGCCATGGACGCCTGGAGCATGGCGGGGTAGTTGGGGGTGCCGAGGCCGGTGACGGCGTCGTAGCCCTCGGCGCACTTGTAGCCCTCGTTGTCGAAGCCGGTGTCGTTATCGCCGACGGTGACATCCCACAGCATGTGCGGGTTCTGGTAGATCCAGGGGTTGAGGAAGCCGAGGGTGGGCTTGCCAGCCTTGAGGCGCTCCTCGTTGATGAGCGAGATGATCGAGGCAAAGGTCGGGCTCGAGCACGAGGTGCCGCCGACGGGGACCTGGCGGCCGGCGTCGATGACCTGGTAGTGCTCGGCGCCGAGGGCGGCGGCATCAGGAGTGGCGCGGTTGCCCGAGTTGAACTTGTGCGAAGACGGGAACTTGACCCCGGACTTGAGGTAGGCGTCGACGGCGGAAGTCTGGTACGACGGCTGCTGGAAGAGGTGCGAGAAGCCACCGCCCGACTTGAAGGCCTGGACGGCGCCCTCGGCGCCGGTGTTGCCTTCGAGGAACCTCGTGGCGCCGATGCAGGTCAGGTGCGGCGAGGTGGCGGGGTACGACGGGTAGAGGGTCGAGCCCTGGTTGCCCGAGCCGGAGTCGCCAGAGGCAAAGATGATCGAGATGCCGCGGGCGCCGAGCTTCTGGTACTCGACGTCGGCGCGCTGGCGGTACGATTCGGACGGGTAGTTGCCCTGCGAGCCGTACGAGATCGAGTGCACCCACGGCGCGTCGTCCTCGCCCTGGAGCTGGGCCTGCCACGCGGTGAGGTCGGACCAAAAGTCAAAGTTGGCCATGCCGTAGAACCAGGTCGGGATGTCCGGCACCACACCCATGATGTACTGGATGTCGAGCGAGGCCTCCACTCCGGGGTTGTTGGGCGTGTTGGAGCCGACAACCTTGGCAACCTTGTCGGACGAGCCAGGCGAGAAGCGCGAGATGAAGGTCTCGAGGTCGCGCGGCGAGTACCACTGCGCCTGGAACTCGGCGACGGCGCGCGAGTTGTTGTGAGCGCCCGACGCCGTGCCGGTCACATTGTAGCGGGCCCGGATGACTGCAGGCGTAATGTCCTGGCCGTCGTCGACTGCCGATGCCTCGCGCGGCTTGGCCTCGTGGACGTCCGGCAGGCCGACGAGGCCCGAGACAAACGCCACCGACTCGGCGAGCTCCGACGGGACCGTGTACGGGCCGAGCGCCGCAGTCACAACCTTGCCGGTCTTGTGCTCAAACTTGTAGAACTCGACCTCGAACAGCTCCTCGAGCTTGGCCAGCGACGTCTTGATCTCCACCATGTCGCGGTTGCGGGTCAGCGTGGCCTGCACACCGTCACTCGAGGCAAACGCCATCGCTGCCTGCTGGACCTCGATCGCCGGCGCAACCATCGCAGTGATTTCGTCGGTCGTCACGTACTTGCCGTAGTCTTCGTGCCTGTGCGTGTTCGTGCGCGCGTGCGGGCGTGTGTGTGTGTGTGTGCGTGAGTTGCATGCTGTTGACGGGAGGAGAGCCAAGAAAAAAGCCACACGGCGGCGAAAAGGAAAAAAAAAGGGAAAATTCTTAGGTCTGCTCCTTTCCAGCGCAGCGCACATGCGACCTGTGCGGGAGGGAGGTGCATGGAAGATGATGGGCTAGTACACGTACTTGGGGTTAGAGACACGCCAGAAGAGCTCGTCGAGCTCCTCGTAGTTGCCCCAGAGCGCAACATGGACGCGGCGGACCTCGAGAAGATCGTCAGCAGTGGCCCGCTGGGCAAGAGCCTGCCAGCCGTCGGCGAGGGGAACGGGAGCAGAACGCTCGACATGGGCGCGGGTTGCGAGGGCAGCACCCACAAGTGCCACAAGGACAATGCACAGCAGCTGCTTGTTCATTATCTTAAAGTTGAGTGTGGCCAATTGTGCGGTTGTCGCCAATGGCTCCAGTCGCGGTGGGTGGGGACAGGCAGGCAGGCAGCACCAGCTTGTCCTGCCAGGGTGAACTCGTTCGGCACGCGCAGCACTCACCATGTCACGCGCTTCCTTCCATCACGCCATCGTCACTCTCAAACCGTGGGCTGTCTGAACGATGGAAATCAGAAGGCAGACCAGGGTGCAGTTTGGGGTGTTGTCAGCGCGGCGAGGCGGATAGCGGTAGTCGTCACCGCAGGGAGGGGAAAACTGTGTGTGTGTGGGGGTGTTTG